GGTCTGCCTGCCCTCGGCACGGCGCGGAGCGCTGCCTCGGTTTCCCCTCTGCTCGTGGGGGTCTTCTCGTGGGGGTCTTCTCATGGGGAGTTTGTTGGGAATGGGGGTATCCGTGGGTCCAAGGGACATCTGGGGGTCCTGGGAGTGGTTGCAGGTGGTGAGGACATCCATGGGTCCTGGGGGTATCCATGGGTCCTGGGGACATCCACGGGTCCCAGGGACACCCACGGGTCCAAGAGGCAGCTGGGTGTATGGGTGGCACCTGCAGGTCCTGGGGCCGTCCGGAGGTCCTGGTGGCATCTCCCAGGCTTGGCACCCACTCCCCTGACGCCCCTCTCCTCTCCCCGCAGTGGTGCTGCTGGACTTCGCCAAGGCGCAGGGCGAGCTGGGCTGGCTCACCCAGCCCTACGGCAAAGGGGTGAGACCCGGGGACCCCCCCCCTGCTGGCCAGCAGCTCCCCGAGAACCCGCACTGGGGATGGGGACCTCCATGGGGATGGGGGCATCCATGGGGACTGGGGATTCGGACATCCATGAGGACTGGGGGCGTCCATTGGGATGGGGATGGGGGTGGGGGCATCCTTGGGGATGGGGACGGGGACCTCCATGGGGACTGGGGATGGGGTTGGAGACATCTATGGAGATGGAGGTGCAGACATCCATGGGGGCATCCATGGGGATGGAGATGGGGACCTCCATGGGGATGGGGACCTCCATGGGGATGGAGGTGGGGACATCCATGGGGATGTCCATGGGGATGGGGACCTCTGTGGGGATGGGGACCTCTGTAGGGATGGTGATGGGGACATACATGGGACTGGGGATGGCGTTGGGGACATCACTGGAGATGGGGACATCCATGGAGATAAAGACAGGGACATCTGCAGAGAGGAGGACAAGTGCATCCATGGGGACCAGGGCCACCACCCACCCTGCCTCAGTTTCCCCCGCCATAGCCCCATTTCTCTCTCTCGGGGGGCAGTGGGACCTGCTGCAGAACGTGCTGAACGACTCCTTGATCTACATGTACTTGGTGTGCAACGTGCTGGAGGGCGAGCAGGAGAATTGGCTCCGCACCAACTGGATCTACCGCGGGGTGGCCGAACGCATCTTCATCGAACTCCAGTTCACCGTCCGCGACTGCAACAGCTTCCCCAGCGCCGGCGGCGGCTCCTGCAAGGAGACCTTCAACCTCTACTACGCCGAATCCGACGTGGATTACGGCACCAACTTCCAGAAGAGACAATTCAAGAAGATCGACACCATCGCCCCGGATGAAATCACCGTCCAGGAGGATTTCGTCGCCCGCAACGTGAAACTCAACGTCGAGGTGCGATCGGTGGGACCTCTCCGTCGCAAAGGTTTCTACTTGGCTTTCCAGGATCTGGGAGCTTGCGTGGCTTTGCTTTCTGTGCGGATTTATTACAAGAGGTGCCCGGCCGTTTTACGGGGGATGGCTCGCTTCCCCGAAACGGTGGCCGGCGCCGACTCGCAGACCTTGGCCGAGGTGCGGGGCACCTGCGTGGAGGAGGCGGTGGCCGACCAAGCTCCGGCGCTGCACTGCAACGCCGACGGCGAGTGGCTGGGGGGCATCGGGG